GCGAGGGCTAAAAGAGGCAAAGATGAATAGGACGTGGCTTTTAGCATAAAAATCATCTGGGAGGCTCCTGGGGAGCTCAGTGGGTTAAGCATCTGCCTTCCACTCAGGTTGTGATCTCAGGATCCTGGGATTGAACCCCACCTCGGGCTCTGCACTCAGCAGGGAGTGTACTTATCTCTCTGTCCCTCCTCGCACCCTACCCTTCGCTTGTGCTTGCACTCTAATAAATAAATAGTCTTTAAAAAAAAATCCAGTCTGACACATAGTAGGCACTCAGTACCTGTAGAATAGGTAGAGGAATGATGGAGTGATTAAGCTCACAACCAAGAGCAAAGCTAAGAAATGCAAGGCAAGCCACAAACAGGAGGCACATAATTTTAAATTCTCTAGTAGGCCCACTAAAAAGGTAAAAAAAAAAAGGGGGGGGGGAACCAGGTAAAATGAATTTTAATATATTAATTTCACCTAACCTAGAAAATATTTTCATTTCCACATTCAACGAGTATTAAAACACTATTATGAAAGAAAACATATGAAATGAAAACATAATAAGATGAAACATTTTACCTTTTCTGGCACTACTTTGAAGTACAGTGTACATTTTACATTTATAGTAATCTCAGTGCAGGCTAGCACATTCCAAAAGTGCATAAGCCCCACCTAAGTGGTGGCTCCCTCAGAAGAGAATGCAAGGGACAGAGTATTTCCATCATGGCAGAAAGTTCTAGTTGGGCAACACACCTCCCAAGGAAGGCAGTAAGTGCATGATGGGGATGAGCAAGCATGCTGTAGGCAGGACATAGAGATGAACAGACTATGGAAGGCCTTGTTTGCCATGCTGAAGAGTACAATCTTTATTCTACGGACAGCAAGGGGTAAAAGAGTGATAGAATTTTTTTAAAAAGTCAGTGGTGATCAGTGGTTTACAAAACACATATTCATAGGCTAGAATCAATCCATGATGAATACTCTTCCAATTCAAGATAAAACATTAAAAACAGGAGAAATGCAGTATGTTTTTCATAAAACTAAATTTATTCAGTGCAACAAGTAGCTCTTTATTCAGAAATTATATGCCTTGGAGGTGATTAAGTGTGGTGAGGGGGTGGGCATTAAATGAGCTTTTCTGAGATTGCAGTAACCACAGATTGCCACTACGCTTTAAAAATGCCCTTGCTGGCCAAATTTTAATAGTTGCAACATCATGCTGCTCCCAAAATTCTACTTTTATATTTTAGTTTGCAAATAAAATCCAAAATTCTGGAACTACCAGGTTTAAACAATTTTTGGACTTTACTAGGAGGGACACAGGATCCAATGTGCACATATTCTTCTGTATCGTGATTTTTATTTCATACACATGTGCATGTAGTCATAATGCTTACACATGACTTTTTTTAAGGCTCCCCACCCAATGTGGGGCTTGAACTCACAACCAAGATTAAGAGTCACGTGCTGTACCGACTGAGCCAGCCAGGCGCCCCTCTTACACATGACTTTTATCTTAAGTTGCTACACAGTGATTCAGTATCTAATGTGAATTATTATTTATTCAGTCATTTCCATGATGTTCTGTGTTGGATCTATTACTTTACTAGTATGAATAGCTTTCCCCAAATTACTTTCTTCCTCCAACCCCAATTCCATGGATTAGTTCCTCAGAATACAGTTCTCAACAGGAAATTTATGGGTCAATGCAATGAATAGCTTTGTTTTGTGCTTGGGTCTTACAGATTAAAAAGACAATATGCAGCACTACCAGTATTTTTTTTTAAAAAGATCTTACCTATTATTTGTTCATAAGACACACAGAGAGAGAGAGAGAGAGAGGCAGAGACATAGGCAGAGGAGAGCCTGGTGTGGGACTCCATCCTGGCACTCCGGGACCATTCCCTGAGCCGAAGGCAGACACTCAACTGCTGAGCGACCCAGATGTCCCACCAGTATTTCTTAACAGCCTAACCTATAATGGGCCATAATTATTTCTGATATTGATAGACAAAGTAGTGTTAATTTTCATTTCTTGAATTCCTAACAAATATATGCCTATTATTTCAAATTCCCTATACTCATCTTTCCTAACTATTTCCAGTGAGGACTCTGTGTACTGACCTTTAAGATCTCAATTCTTTATATTTTGTAGGATAACCATTTAATCTTTAAAAGTGTCCTATTATCTTCCCCCATGCTATGTGATTTCATTTAATATTTATTCTATTGCCTCTGGCCAGGCTATTTTTCCTTTTCTTTTTTTTTCCCCCCTTCAGATATTCAGGCACATCTGTCTTGTGTTTGATGATTTTCTTCATTGCTTCAGTGGTCCTAAGTTTATCTCCCCTATACAGCTGGGTTAAAAATGCTATTCCATTTTCCTCTAGTTATTTTATAGATAAATACAGTGGCATCCAAAGTCAAGTCCTTTTTTACTCTGAAATTAATATACTTTTAAAACTGCAGAACTTAAAAAAAAACTGCAGAACTTTCTAATATGAGTGAAATTTTCTCAGATTGGGAAGATTGTTCCCAAGGTGGATCTGTCCACATCATAATGACAGATGTCACCAAACAGCTACACTTCTCTAATCAGGAGTGAAGCTGAACAGGATATCTGAGAATCAGGATTTTTACCTCTTCCCTCAGAGGTGTTCAGCACCCTACAATTCTCTCAACTGCCACTGTTGACACTAACGCCTCAACAAGCTCACTTAAAATTAAAATCTTCTTTCAGCAAGAAAGGTCACCAGTAGACAAAAGCAACTGCCTGACGAAATACACAATTGCCCAGGGGTACAAAAATCAAATCACTATAGCTATAGAGGCATTTCACATATTTTTCATATAATGAAATTTCATGGGGAATTTCAATAATCGCCCCTCATGGGTGGAAAATAGAAAACAATAGGATAAAGGATAAAAGGAGTACATAACGTAATTGTTGGCAAAGCTGAGATCACGCTATATAAATTTTACTTACCTATACATGTAACAGAAAAAAATAACCCAGAAGTAAATTTATTGAAAGCTTAAATAATGCTTATCTGAAAGGAGGTAGGACTATGGGTAATTCTGATTTTCTTCTTTAGACTTCTTGTGCAATAGATATTTGGCATTATATACTTTATATAATTATTTTTATACACATATGCCTAAAGAACATACTTTTATTCTTTTCAAAATGACTTTTCAAAAAATGGAGGTAGGAAAGATTTGGGCATTATGTTGCATAATGTGCTACTGAAAATTAAGCTAAGTCACTTCAACTTTTATTTAAACCATGGCTCATTCAGTGCAAGCACCTCTGCTTTATTTCATATATTCCAGGCTTCTTAGCATCATTTGTAAGAGTCAGTGTATTAGAGATTTGCTATAATAGAATTCTCAAAATACCATGAACTTTCAACGTGTCTTTTTTCTTTTTCCTTTTTTTTTTTTTTTTTTCAGGTTGTCATCTCTAAGATACTTGCAAAAATATTCGCGGTGAGGGTTACATAAAAGCAACTCTCATGGTGTTGTGGTCAAGTTTGTTGGGGTTTTTTTAGTCCTTTTTTTGTTAGATAAATAATAAAGCATTTACTGGCAATGATAAATTGATAGAATATTTATGATTTCCTTGAAATACTCCAGCAAAAAAAAAAATGGTAGAGAGAAAACAAGAACAACAGAAAGTTGGCACTGTTGGCACTGGGTCATGGATACCATTATTTTGTTCTACTTTGGGTACAAAGTGTTTCTATAATACAGTTTAAGATGCTGTGGAAACTGAAAAATATGTACAAGTGCATAACTATTCCTCATATCATTCAGTCTATCAAGGTTAAGCTCAGAGCTAAACACCATTTTTTTTCTCTTTTTAACATCAGGGTGACTATTTCAAAGGCAGCATTTAATGCCATCTCTCTACTAGGTAATACAGGGTGTGTGCATGTGAAAATCTATCAGGAAAGACAGGTCTTGCATATGTATCTTGCAGACTCGATTCAGAAGATTCCAGATTTTCTGTCCTGGGCCAGCGTCAGACCAATATAGCAGGTTGACACAGCACAACTTGGCCCATGACATTTAGAAAATAAAACAAGATGTGTGCTGACTTGAGCCATAAGACCCTATGCCAGGAGGCCCATTGTGCTGCTCGCCGTGGGCCAGGGCCCCCTGTTTCCCTCAGAGGATGGGCTGGTTCACCGGCAAGCCAGCTGCAGAGCCAAAAGCCTCAACGCAGGTTGGGTACCAAACACCACTATCATTTATTTCATACAGTCTATTCTTGGGAACAGTTGCAAAGGATGAGATGAACACTAAGGAAGTAGGATCCCCAAACTGATGGTTTCCTAACGTGTCAAAAGTAAAAACAAAGCATGGTCCCACAGAGGTTCATAAGGCACTCATAGCTGATAGGCTTTCAAGTGCACAGTTACAAGTGAACCTCAAATCTTCCTGGAGAGGAGGCTAAGGCCTGAGTTATTTCCAGTCTATAGATGCTGAAACCCAGATTCAAAGCTTTGAAAGACTTTGCTGCCAAACAAGAGTCTTCGGACTCTGAGGACAGTGCCCCTTCCCTACCTAGCACTCTGCTGAATGTGGTCTCTGATGGGAATGTCACGTCAAGGCAGGCACATTGCAAGTGAGGAACACAGAAAAAAGGTCTCATGCAACCTGAGTTTCGAAACCACTTCAATTACTTCCTGGCTACCCATGACTGTGTACTGTCTATCCTTTGCTATGAGCATGGTTGACTCCACTTCAACTTACACCCACATATCTGTGGGATGGCTTGCCCGGCTTTCTGAGTCTCTCAAACACCTCATTTAACCTGAGACACAGAAACAAATTGTTTTTTCTATAACCAGGAGGCACTGCTATCATGGCTGTGTGGCTGGGAGGTTGGCTACTCGTCATCTCTCTTCGTAATCAAGATGGTACAAGGGAAGGGGAAGTTGGCAGTGCAGTGGTAGCGGCCCTCAGTGCCCGGGGATGACTCAACCTAGAAGGAGAGCAAAGCCTACCTCTCTGACTTCATGAAGCTGGCCAGGATACTGACTCTTGGCTCTTCGGGCAGCTGCAGGCGACTTGTGATGCGTGATTGTGACAACACCGGGGGCCCCCGTGCTGAGGTGTCTCTGGCTACAGGGAGACGCAGGATTGGGCGTTCCATGGGGGAGCAAAGTGAGACTGCGGCTTCGGGAACTTGGAGTCGTCTAGAATAAGCAACAGTTGTCAAAACTCAGCAACCAACCTGCAGAACACAGCTAAGTGTTGGCTTCCATTTATTCTAGACCTCTTCCTCTTTCCCCTTCATCTACTTAGAGGAATGAAGGCATGGGGGAAGTCCAGCAACACTGCATGCCCAAATCCCACACTCATTTCAAAGAGCCAACGTCCATTAACCATGCTTCTGGTCTCATCTCCAACTGTGTCTCCTGCCCTACTCTATTGGCCATGAAAGGCTACTGGGTCCCCGCCAGATGCCACAGACTATTATGGATCTGTGCCTCTCCATACATTACCTCCTCTTCCTAGAATGTTCTTCCCCTCATGGCTGGCAAACTTCAACTGAACCCTAAAACTCAGCTGTTTCCTGATGTGTGAATCATCTTCTGGTTTGCCTCAGCCTCCCTGCTACTCTCGTTCCACTGCAGTGAGATTATATTCATTCTACAGCTTCTTAAAAGTTTTCCAAACTCATTTTTATATCCCCAAGACCTAGCACATAATGACTGTCTAATTTATTAGATACTCAATAAACGTCTGCTGCATGACTAAAAGTCCTTAGTTATCCACCAATGAATCCCCATGTGTTAGTGTAGGGCTCTTATTTCATCCTCAAGGAATATATAATCCAAGTAACAATTTAGTAGAATATAAAGATGGCAACTCAACCTAGTGGAGATGAATTTTTTCAATAACTGCAATTGAGGTAACTGGGCACCCATCTGAAAAACAAAGTTAGATTCATCTCCCAGATCATAGACCCTAACTGGATCAAAGACATTTTTTTTTTAAATGGGAAAAAAGCACAGGAAGACCTGGAGCCCTGGGGCAAAGGAAAGGCCTAACAGCTCAAAATCCAAATGCCATAAAAGAAAAAACTTCTGCACAGGAAACCACTTTATTTCTTTTTAAAGATTTTATGTATTTATTTATGAGAGACACAGAGAGAGGCAGAGACACAGGCACAGAGAGGAGCAGGCTCCCCATGGAGAGCCCAATGAGGACCCCAGAATCACACCCTGAGCTGAAGGCAGCGGCTCAACCACTGAGCAACCCAGACATTCCAGAAAACAACTTTAAAAAACCCATTCCCACAGGGGCACCTGGTTGGCTTAGAGTATGTGACTCTTGATCTTGTGGTCATGGGTTCAAGCCCCATTTTGGGTATAGAGATTACTAAATATAAATAAGTAAACAAACAAACTTTAAAAGAAAAAAGCCCACTCCCTCCACCAACAAAGCCAAACAATAAACTAGGAAAAATATTTTCAACTTGTTTCAAATGCCTCGCCATGCTACTTTATAATTAAGAATGGAAATCCTAGGAATTCATAGGAACAGCAAACTATAAAAATGGGGCAAGATAGGAACAGACAGTTAACATATAAAGTCTTTAAACCATATGAAACATGTAGAACTGTATTCATTAAATGTAAATGCTGCTTGGAAATGTATCCTTCAATACACCTGCTCCGAGGGGAAATGGCGTAGGTATCCGCCATGAGCCATCACAGAAGGAAGTTTAATGGCAGAGGATGGGAAACAACCCAAAGGTCCAACAGTATGAGACACATTCAATAAATAATAGTACACCTACATAATCTCTGACACTACTAAGCTGAGAAAGAATGAGAAAGGTCTGTATCATTTGGTCTGGGGAAAAAAAAAATCTCTACACTACAGAGTTAAGTGAGAAAAAGCAAGGTTTAGATCTGTCATATAGCATGCAAAGTTCTGCATCAAAATGTGAAAAGTATTTTTATTGTTATTTGCTTAAAATTATTTGTTTAAAGCAGAAAAATACCCTAGAAGGAGACCCACAAAACTAAAAAAGTGGCTACTTATTTGTGGAGAAGTAGAGAATGAGAGAAGAACAGAGAGGGAGACTTTTTTTTTCCCCCTCAACTGTCTCTTATGTTCTTTTTGAACCATGTGAACATATTATTTACCCAAAATTTGCTCAACTCTACAAAGAACTTACATTCTAAATGTTCCTATCCTTCACTTCAGCTTGAGAGAAGGCAGTTCAAGGATATGCTGACTCATACCAGCTTGTGTATTTCAGTGATCAAATATTTACTGAACACCTACTATGTGCCAAGGAGAATATCTATGTTGTGGTCTCAAGAAGAAAACAGAGATGTACGGGACAGTCTTTCCTTATAGAGGCTTATTGCTGGGAACAGAGGATACAGACAGAAGCACACATACACGAGCACACACACACAGTAAGAAAGTGCAGAGCAAGGGGTTAATTCAGCAATACAGCCAGAAAATGCCAAAGAAAGAGATTCACTAGAGCTGACCTCATTGCACAGCTCTGAGAGTGAAGGATTTGAAGCCTGAGCAGGATTGAAGGAGACAGAGACAGCACCTTCAAAGCGGGTCTTAGCCTTAGGCATAGAGTGACAGTCAACAGTTCTAAAAGCTGTTAAATGTTAATGATCTGTAATTTTCAAACTGTCAAGGGGTTGGGAGTGGGGTGTGAGGTGGGGTGGAAATCAGACCTCGATATTGTCCTGCAACATCAGAGTAGCTTGTAAAGCTTCTCTGGATTGAACTTGGATATAATTAATAGGAATACAAATATAGTTGGAAAGCAGTGTGTCGCTTTTAAATAACCTCATATATAGACAATTGGAGAATTTTTTTGTCTAAGAATTACATATACTTTGATTACAATGAAATACAACAGGCATCTACTATCTGCTTTAATGTTTTCACTTGGAGTGTGGAGGATGAAAGGAGCTATTTCTTTAATCCTTTAATGACAGTAAATTTGCTTAAGCAGTCAAAGCCTACTGAAATATATTTTGATTGTTTGGGAGGCTTATTCTAACCTTAGAAAAGGCAACTTTTTCATTGAGCTTTGAAGCCACGCATCCAAGGTTCCCTCCCCTAGTTCTACCAGTTTCTAGCGCTGTTGACTTCAGTTGAATTATTTGCTTTCTTATTAAGCATCAATTACCTAATCTTTAAAAAAGGAATAATATTGACCCTTAAAAGCCATCATGAAGATTAAATTAGATCGTTCACATAAAACGCTTAGCACAGTAGAAAACTGTATGGCCAAAGTTTGTTTCTTTCCTTCTATCACTTAAAACTAGATCAATGAAGGCCTTATTGATTTTTAAAATGTTAAGAAGTCACTTAGCAGTAACTGACCTCATTTTTTTTTTTTTTTTACAGATCAAAGTGGTGATGAAGTCCAAAATATAATTAAATACTGGAGAATCTATATGGTCGGCCATTAAATTGAAAGATTGTAGGGAGAGAAAACATTCTAGATGCTGGGGAGAATAAGAACCCATTTGACATTGGACAGGAAGACAACTCTGGCAAGAAGCACCTCTGCCTGGAGCAGTATCACTGTAAATGGAAATAAATCAAGAAACTCACCCAGAAGCCAAATTATTCCACTGTGAATGTCTAACTTCATGATCATTACTTGAATGGCTGTCAATTCACAAGCAATAAATTTGAGTGGAAAAACCTTTAATTTCCTATTAACTGTGGGATCTTCATGGTTTAATTCACACCAGTGCCTCCTCTCAGGGTAAATATGAACAAAAAAAGCCTGATTCTTGGTAAATTCCATAGGTCCTCAAGCTCCAGGGAAAAAAGGGAGACCAACAAACTACAACTGCTAAGAACAAGAAGGCTCTCTTTTTATGGGCAACCTGTCTAAAATTTCCAGGTTGTGTTTTTTAAATTGTGTTTAGCTATCATACACACTCATCCCTGCTACTATTTTACAACAAAACATTATCAGAGTTTGAGAAACAATATGGCAGGTTTTTATTCCAAATATTTACTTCAGTGAGGGCAACTAGAAATGCCACAAATGCCATCTGTGAAAAATCTGGAGTTAAGGGTAACTGCTTCTCTCCAGGAATAAGATTCACCTTTTACCAGGGGTGCCTGGGTGGCTCAGTTGGTTAGGCGTCTGCCTTCGGCTCAGGTCACGACCCCAGAGTACTGGGATGGAGCCCCCCATTAGGCTCCCTGCTCAGTGCAGAGGCTGCTTCTCCCTCTGCCTGCTTCTCCCCTGCTTGTACTCTGTCAAATACATAAATAAAATCTTAAAAAAAATATATTCACCCTATACCTAAAAAAATCCATCCTTGTATCTCCTATCCCATATAGCGCCTGCCTGACAAATGGGGGTGATGCCAAAGAAGAGAATGCAATCCCAGGTGAGACAAAGCACTGATGCTCACCCTGCCCAGACATTTTACATGCGGTCGGGTTTCACAATATTTACCAACCGCTGGTTTTTCCTACATACTTCATCAGATCCCTTAAATTCCCCCTCTTTGCAAGGAAGACACACCTACATACATTTTGTACTTACTGGCTAAAATGGGCATGAAGGAAAGGCATGATTGAAAAAAGGGAGAAAGCACTTGAAAGAATATCAAGGGAAATCAAACATTGAGCTGGGAGATACAGTCGAGTCTGGGAAGCTTTACGGCAGAATCACTGAACTATCCAGAAGCTGTGGGTGGGGAACGGTTAAGAGCACAGTTTCAAAAGTCAATGGTCTGAGTTCAAATCTCAGCTCCAGCACTCATGAGCTAGGTGACCTAGTAAAGTAGCATGGCGTTTTTGCTTCTAAAATTCTACTTTTTTCCCCACTTCTAAAATTTTAATATTATCTATCTCACTGAGTTGTTGGAAAATGGAATGAGGATAGGTAGGGCATGTGCCACATACTTAGCATGAAGTATCATCATTATCATTCATTAATTAATAAAAATTAGGCCTTCAGGCACCAACACAGATGAAGGATTGTTTAATGGTCCCAGAGTCAAATACATGAACTGTTTTCATCAACACTACCTTAAGTAGACACAGTTTTACCACTTCCGCAATTAAAAAAATAAAAATAAAAAAATAAAGAATAATCATCCTAATTACTTTTTTAAAGAAAAGCAGTTTGCTTCAGGGAAAAAGCACATTTAAAATATGATTTCACATTTGCAAA